TTGTCGCGTGTGTTGCAGCATCGGCCATGCTTTAGATGATGTTGCTGCCGCCATTGTCAGAGCCGGCAAACTTGGGGTCGAGCACGTCATCGCCCGCCATCATGTCAGCCAGGGTCTCGCCAGAGGAAGATGGCGCCGACGACGACTGGGATGTGGCGGCGGTGGCGGCGGTGACGGCAGCCCGGCCAATGGCACTGCCAATGCTGGCAATGTCAACGTCGCCAACAACGGGCGGGAGAAGCGTGTCCGAGAGCGACTTGTCGCCTGTGCTCTCCGGCTTTGGTGGCGGGGGGCGGATGTGCAGGTTAACTTCCTCCCTGAACTCCTCCGGTGTCAGCGCCGCGATAACGCTCTCATGCAGCGGCTGGTCGCACGTGAAGTTGTCAAAGTACTCGTGCGGCTCAAACACGCGGAAGTTGTGCAGCTGGGCCGCAATGTTCTCCAGCTCATCCAGCACAGGATGGTCCGCGTCCACGTTGCCGGACTTGTCATCCTCCTTGCGAGTTGTCGTTGTTGTTGTCGTCGTTGTTGTCGTTGTTGTGGTTGTGTGGTCCTTCGTCACGAGAGAGGAGAGCGCCTCGCCCACGGCCTTGGCGGGTGAAGACGACGACGACGACTTGGAGGAAAAGAAGCCTGGGTGGTCGTGCTCCCACTCCTCCGGCGTCACCGAGTGCACAATAAACGGCTCCACCTGGTCTTGGCCAAAGTCGTCGTTGTAGTAGTGCGGCTCAATGGCGTGCGACGTGTGCATGTCTGCCAGGAAGCTCTCAAACGCCTCCTCCACACGCTCCAGCACGCTTTCGTGCAGCTCGTCATCATTGTCGTTGCTGCCGCTGTTGCCACCGCTGCCCTTCTTCACTCCTTCGCCATCGCCCTTGCTCGCCACTTCAGACTGCTGTGGGTCTGAGGGTGGGGCGGTGCCGAAGAAGACGGGCGCAGCGGCGCGGTTCGGGCCCTCGGTCTGCTGCTGCTGCTGCTGCTGCTGCTGCTGCTGCTGCTGCTGCTGCTGCTGCTGCTGCTGCTGCTGCTGCTGCTGGTGGGAGCTGGCGTTGGCTTCGTTTGGGTAGATGATGGTGGACGGCGCGACAATAAACGGCACCGTGTCGTCAAACTGGAAGCGCGCGCCTTCATCAAAGGAGCCTTGCTTGGAGCCGTCCTGCGAGAGTGCAGGAGTGGCCGGCGTGGCGGCGGTTGGCGATGCGGTCACCTCGTCCACCGACGCCTGACGCGACGCCGACGGCGATGACGAGGACGATGATGGCCACCACCACCACGACACGCCACCGGTAGTCTTCTGCGTCTCTGTTGTCGATGATGACGATGGCACAATGGGCTTCGAGGTGGACGACGTGAAGGCGTATGTCTTGGAGCGCGGGCGCGTCTTCTTCTTCTCGCTGCTGTCGCCGGCATCATTCTCGCTACCGATAATCTCGCTGATGGTGCTGACGGTGGAGGTTGTGCTGGCGTCGCTCTCGCTGCGCTGGCGCCCCTGCTTGTGCGCGAGCTTCTCCGTCTCGTTCAGCATGCGCAGCGTCTCCGACAGCACCGTGTTGTGATGCTGCTCGTGGTGGGGTTGATCGCCGCCCGCCTGCTGCTTGATTGCGCCGGTGGACGCTGCCTTGGCGTCGCTGCGCGCGTCGGACATGCCGAGGATGCGATCAAGGTCCATGTCATCCACGAGCTCGCTTACGTCGCCAGTCTCGATGGGCTCCAGCTCCTGCAGCTGGTGCCCGAGGGACGACTTGATGCGGCTGAGAAAGTCTTCGCGCTCCTCCGGCGTCCATGTGCGCAGGTGCTCCTTGTGCGGCTCGGACAGGGGCTCGTTGTTGATGATGCGCCGCTCAATCTCTTCCAGGTCCACCTCTGCCGGCTCCTCCTCCTCGGGTTGGTCCAGGCTGAAGTTGTCCTCGAAGCTGTGTGGCGCCATGGCGTGTGCGTGCAGCACGTGGCGCAGGGCGGCTGTCACCAGCGACGAACGCCGCTTGGGTGGCTCCCCGCCAGGCTGCGAGGGGTTGCCGGCCGGTGCTGGCGGTGGCTGTTGCACTTGCGCCTGCCCACCCTCCATCTTGGCGGTGATCTTGCGGCCCTGTTGCTGCTGTTGTTGTTGTCGGTGGTGGTGGTGGTGGTGACGGCGATGGGGCTCCGTGTGGGCAGTTGGGTGGAACGCTTCGTTGATGGCAACCGCTTCCAGTGCCTCCATTCCACAACAATGCAGTGCTTGTCCCCTGCGCCATGCAATGGTGTGTGTGTGTGTGTGTGTGCGTATGCAAGTGTGTGTGTGTGTGTGTGTGCGCAAGTGTGTGTGTGTGTGTGTGCAATGATGTGTGTGTGTGCGCAAGTGTGTGTGTGTGTGTGTGTGCGAGGGAGGGAGGGAGGGAGGAAGAAAAGGGGGCACTGTGCGTGAGATTTGAAGCCAATGGGCAAACGGTGGTCAAGGTAGGTGGTGGTGATGATGCCGCCGGCATTTGTGCAAAGCTGTTGTTGAGGTGGATGGGCGCTG